CGAGATCCTCGCAAGAGCTGACAATCACGTCAGCCGCGAGCTGCTCGAGTCATGGTTCTCAGGCCCATGGGTAATCAATAACCGCACTGAAGTCCCGTTCCCATACTCCGTATTTAAACATTTTCTAAGAAAATAAGTCACGTGGGAAGGCCCGGGCCCAGTAACAACTCTGACGACAGCGAACTTTCTTGTCACGTCATTATCAAGCCCGCATCCCACACAGAGAACAAAGCCGCTGCAATTCATTACTCGAAAGCGGCCTACCGAGCTATCATCGCACCAATTTCAACCCTCAGCAGTGGTTACAGGAGCTGATAATTATAGTGCGCATGCGGGTGGCCGCTACGAACTATAAATATCGCGCAATCGGTGCATATATCACCCCAATCTGTGCATGTATCACAATATTCTACGATTACCTATGCTTGCCGGTCCTCGACAGGGTGCGAAACGTCAGGCAGATAAATTTCTTAATCTAGCGATCGTATCCTCTACTTCTGAGCCATTCCTTCTTCTGACATATCACCTGCACATCGCATTTTCACCACTATTTCACTGTGTCCTGTCCTCTCCCTTGTCCTAGGAATGTGCGTGCCCCTTCAACCACTTACTGTTGTCTGTGAGTACATGCCACGAGGTGACTTGAACAGCTGCCTGCGTCGTTTCAAAGCCGCTGAAGACTCTGGAGGACGAGAAGAAGGCGCTCTCTTGGTTGATCGCTTACTTTACATAGCTGTTGACATCACCGAAGCCATGATATATCTGGGATACAAGTCTTATGTTCACAGGTTTGTCGCTTTTATTTTTTCTCCTGTCACTCAGACATACAATAAGCCCGATTTATGTGGAAGGTGAAAAGTTGGCGTACGTTTTATTACACTTCATCTCCTCGGACTACAATGGGGAAATATTTTGTAAGGCGAGCGTTTCACATGATGCGCTCAGTGCCGCGACGGAGAAAACTCCTTAAGCGTGGCTCAACTCTATTTTACCGAAAAAAATGCAAAAAAATACTCTTGTACGTACTCAATCATCAGTAGATTAGCTCTTTTCGAAGTTTTTTGTATGAGGAAATGGTATCTTTCCCTTTTTAAAAAAAGGTTGCAAATTTGAGATTTTTTAACATCCCAAAATGTTCACTTCTACAACATCGTATCTGATGGTTTGCCGTTGCTGCTTACGAAGGATACATCCTTTTCCACATCTGTCGCGCAGTTTTATGTGTCCTAGACTACGTCTTCTTAGAAGAATTCATGCTGTTAATGGAACGGAAAATACGTAGCATGCACTTTGGAAACGCGGAATGCAAATGCCACCGCAGGTCAGATTTAAACGTATTCGGGAATTGAAATTTGTTATAAGCTTGTGTGTTCCTGTGTCAACACTGGTTATTTCCCCCACTTACGTGTTAGGAAGAGAAGGCAGAACAGGATAGCAGATAGTACTTTAATGTCAGTTCTACTAGTACATAAGCTGTGTTTCCTGTGTGTCCAACAGCTTGTCTTCTGTGTCTGTCAGAAGCTTGTGTTCTGCCATCGTCTCGGCCAACAGCGTTCCTTATCTCTAGCAGGCGTGTCCCGGGTCGCTACCAGCAGAATGTCGGGTCGTCGGTGGCGCGTCTCGGCAACAGAATGCCGCCTTTAGCGGTGGCAGCATATTTAAGGGCCAGTAGTCATTGTTCCTTATCGGCTCTCCACGAGTGGCCTCCACAGGCAGCCGTCATGCCTCCAGCCATCGTGTCCTGTCATCACTGCCTGTCTGCTTTACGTCTTCCTGCAGCATCGCGTGTTCCCTTTTTGTTATCCTGCCTCGAGGACAGCGCGAGTGGTGGGCCCTCCTAACAAAAATATTTTCTTTAGCCGAATATGTCCCTTCCTCAAGAAGAAACTTTGGAGAAGATATAAGTTGCTAGCAGATGAGTACAACAAGAGTATTTCTCTGCATGTTTTCAACCAAGGAAAACATATACTTGCATTTATAAGGGCGATGAGCATCAATGCGAAAAGATCAGCTTCTTTCTCAGACAGCCTGGAAAGACTACGCTCGTAAAAAAGTACCCAGTGATTTTCGACGCTCTTATAAGTTTAAAACAATTTCAACGGAACGCTGCGCATGCATCTATTCTCCTGATGCATTCGTTTTGTTGAAACTCGCACATTCTTCCAATTTTATACTCGAAGGAAGAGTGTCTTTCACTTAAGAAGTGTCCACCCATAGAGCACCTTATCCGTCTCTTTCTCAAGGCTGCTTGTTAACTATACAACATGGCCCGCATTTATTGCCACATTTTACGCGAGTCCCTTGTGACCTCTGTCTAACGTCTTCGAGGAATGTAAGATTTACCCTCACACAGAAGGTATGCAGCGTTCAGCCCAATTTCTGGAATTGAAAATAATCTTGACCGAAATATGTACATTTTACACAAGGCTGCTAAATGAGTGCAAGAAGGTTTTTTCGGCAAAATTGATTTGTAGAGCCCCTCTAGATATCTACCTTCTCCCCGCCCAACTGCTTGTCGTATTTTGTGGTCAAACATTTATTTCCTGGCTAGTGAGTGTAAATTAATGTGTAGTTTTGGCGGATGTGATCAAAAATAGTAAATTAAATAAGATATTGTTTGTTTCAATATGCTAAAATAGAATAAAATTCGATCAACACAAACTTCTATTGTGCAGAATACGAATAATAATCGACCTTATGTAAGCGGAATTTAACGAAAATGGAAATTCGTCCTCTTATTGGTGGACTTAAACGAAAAAATTTAAAGTCAGGCTACCGAACATTTGAACGTAGTTTTTTTATTATAAGTCGACGGCATATTTGGAGCCCCTTGAATCAATCTTGCCAAATTTTCGATAGAATCTTAATTTACCTCCCAGAGCATCATCCGAAAACCCACTCCTTCAGGACCGGTGGTTTTGGAGGTTATACGGGTGGAGCATACCAGGGGAAATAAAAAATTATTAAAAAGGAGAGCACATAAAAATAGAAAATAATAGGAATAGTTATTTAAATAAATATTTTAAATAACCACATATTTGCGCGCGACAATTTAAATGCGTCGTCTAACCAATAGGAAACAAGAAGGGCCCAATTAAGTTCAATCCTCTATGGATTCTATATCGAATAGCACCCACAACGGGGATACAATCCTATGTCGTCTCCATGTTGAATTTTTGGAGATAAAAGTAAAATCATAAAAGGTTTTTTTCCAATTTTTTCAACTCACTACCTATGGTACTACTATAAAAGTAATTATTAAGTTGGTTTGGCAGATTTGCTTAATTTGAGTTGACCCAAGTG